AATAAGAAAGGAGAGGAAAAAAAGAATCATCAGACTGAGTTTATAAGAGCATAATAAGTGAGTTAAAGTTAGACATTTAGATAGTAAAGGAGCTACCCTACAATCTCTGGTAACCACAAATCCAAAGCCTGCAATGGCAATAGGTACATATCTATTGATAATCATCCTAACTATAAATGGACTGAATGCACCAATCAAAAGACACAAGAGTAATAGAATGGATAAAAAAGCAAGACCCATCTATATGCTGCTTACAAGAGACTCACCTCAAATCCAAAGGCATACACAGACTAAAAGTGAAGGGATAGAAAAAGATATTTCATGCAAACAATAAGGAGAACAAAGCAGGTGTTGCAGTACTTGTACCAGACAAAATAGACTTCAAAACAAAGTAAAGAGATAAAGAAGGACATTACATAATGATAAAGGGGTCAGTCCAACAAGAGGATATAACCGTTATAAATATCTGCGCACCCAACACAGGAGCACCGACATATGTGAAACAAACACTAACAGAACTAAAGGAGGAAATAGAATGCAATGCATTCATTCTAGGAGAGTTCAACACACCACTCACTCCAAAGGACAGATCCACCAGACAGAAAATAAGTAAGGACACAGAGGCACTGAACAACACACTAGAACAGATGGACCTAAGAGACATCTACAGAACTCTACACCCAAAAGGAGCAGGAGACACATTCTTCTCAAGTGCACATGGAACACTTTCCAGAATAGACCACATACTAGGCCACAAAAAGAACCTCAATAAATTCAAAAAGATTGAAATCCTACCAACCAACTTCTCAGATCACAAAGGTATAAAACTAAAAAATTGTACAAAGAAAACAAAAAGGCTCACAAACACATGGAGGCTTAACAACATGCTCCTAAATAATCAATGGATCAATGACCAAATTAAAACAGAGATCAAGCAATATATGGAAACAAATGACAACAACAGCACAAAGCCCCAACTTCTGTGGGAGGCAGCAAAGGCAGTTCTAAGAGGAAAGTATATAGCAATCCAGGCCTATTTAAAGAAGGAAGAATAGTCTAAAGTCACAATTATTGAAACTGGAAAAAGAAGAACAACTGAGGCCCAAAGTCAGCAGAAGGAGGGACCTAATAAAGATCAGAGGAGGAATAAATAAAATTGAGAAGAATAAAACAATAGAAAAAATCAATGAAATCATGAGCTGGTTCTTTGAGAAAATAAACAAAATAGATAAACCCCTAGCCAGACTTATTAAGAGGAAAAGAGAATCTACACACATAAGCAGAATCAGAAATGAGAAAGGGAAAATCATGACAGACCCCACAGAAATACCAAGAGTTATTAGAGAATACTATGAAAATCTATATGCTAACAGGCTGGATAACCTAGAAGAAATGGACAACTTCCTAGAAAAATACAACCTTCCAAGACTGACCAAGGAAGAAACACAAAATCTAAACAGACCAATTATCAGCAATGAAATTGAATCGGTAATCCAAAAACTACCCAAGAAGAAAACCTCGGGACACATGGATTCACCACTGAATTTTATCAGACATTTAGAAAAGGCATAATACCCATTCTCCTTAAAGTTTTCCAAAAAATAGAAGGGGAGGGAATACTTCCAAACTCATTCTATGAAGCCAGCATCACTCTAATACCAAAATCAGGCAAAGATCCCACAGAAAAAGAAAACTACAGACCAAGATCCCTGATGAACATAGTTGCAAAAATACTCAACAAAATATTAGCAAACAGAATTCAAAAATACATCAAGAGGATCATATATACCATGATCAAGTGAGATTCATGTCAGGGATGCAAGGATGGTACAACATTCCAAAATCCATCAACATCATCCACCACATCAACAAAAAGAAGAAAAACTACATGATCATCTCCATAGATGCTGAAAAAGCATTCGACAAAATTCAACATCCATTCGTGATAAAAACTCTCAACAAAATGGCTATAGAGGGTAAGTACCTCAACATAATAAAAGCCATATATGACAAACCCCCATCATACTTAACAGCAAAACTTAACAGCGAGAAGCTGAAAGCTTTTCACGTAAGATCGGGAACAAGACAGGGATGCCCACTCTCTCCACTTTTATTCAACGTAGTACTGGAGGTCCTAGCCACAGCAATCAGACAACACAAAGAAATAAAGGACATCCAGATTGGTAAGGAAGAAGTCAAACTCTCACTATTTTCAAATGACATGATATTGTACATAAAAAACCCTGAAGACTCCACTCCAAAACTACTAGAACTAATATCTGAATTCAGTGAAGTTGCAAGATACAAAATTAATACACAGAAGTCTGTTGCTTTCGTATACACTAACAATGAACTAGCAGAAAGAGAAATCAGGAAAACAACTCCATTCACAATTGCATCAAAAAGAATAAAAATTCCTAGTAATAAACCTAACCAAGGGTGTGAAAGACCTATACCCTGAAAACTGCAAGACACTCTTAAGAGAAATTAAAGAGGACACTAACAAATGGAAATTCATCCCATGCTCTAGAGTAGGAAGAATTAATATTGTCAAAATGGCCATCCTGCCTAAAGCAATCTACAGATTCAAAGCAATCCCTATCAAATCCCTATCAAATCTTCAACAAACTGGAACAAATTGTTCTAAAATTCATATGGAACTACAAAAGACCCCGAATAGCCAAAGCAATCTTGAGAAGGAAGAATAAAGCAGGGGGGATCTCGCTTTCCATCTTCAAGCTCTACTACAAAGCCACAGTAATCAAGACAGTTTGATACTGGCACAAGAACAGACCCACAGACCAGTGGAACAGAATAGAGAGTCCAGATATTAACCCAAACACATATGGTCAATTAATATATGATAAAGGAGCCATGGATATACAATGGGGAAATGACAGCTGATGTTGGCAAAACTGGACAGCTACATGTAAGAGAATGAAACTGGATCATTGTCTAACCCCATAACACAAAAGTAAATTCGAAATGGATCAAAAACCTGAACATAAGTCATGAAACCATAAAACTCGTAGAAAAAAATATAGGCAAAAATCTCTTGGACATAAACATGAGCAACTTCTTCATGAACATATCTCCCCGGGCAAGGGAAACAAAAACAAAAATGAACAAGTGGGACTATATCAAGCTAGAAAGAACAAAAAGGCATCCTACAGTATGGGAGAATATATTCATAAATGACATATCTGAGAAAGGGTTAACATCCAAAATATAACATCCATTCATGATAAAAACTCTCAACAAAATGGGTATAGAGGGCAAAAAGCAAATAATCCAATTAAAAAAATGGGCAGAGGAGCTAGCTGATCAGACACTTGTCCAAAGAAGAAATTCATATGGCCAACAGGCACATGAAAAGATGCTCCACATCACTAATCATCAGAGAAATGCAAATTAAAATCACAATGAGATATCACCTCACACCAATTAGGATCGCCACTATCCAAAAGACAAACAACAACAAATGTTGGCAAGGATGTGGAGAAAGGGAAACCCTCCTACACTGCTGGTGGGAATGTAAATTAGTTCAACCATTGTGGAAAGCAGTATGGATGTTCCTTAAAAAACTAAAAACAGAAATACCATTTGACCCAGGAATTCCACTCCTAGGAATTTACCATAAGAATGCAGGAGCCTAGTTTGAAAAAGACATATGCACCCCTATGTTTATCGCAGCACTATTTACAATACCCAAGAAATGGAAACAACCTATGTGTCCATCAGCAGATGAATGGATAAAGAAGATGTGGTACATATACACAATGGATTATTATTCAGCCATAAGAAGAAAACAAATCCTACCATTTGCAGCAATATGAATGGACCTAGAGGGTATTATGCTCAGTAAAATAAGCCAGGTGGAGAAAGACAAGTATCAAATGATTTCACTCATCTGTGGAGTATAAGAACAAACAAAAAACTGAAGGAACAAAACAGCAGCAGAATCACAGAACTCAAGAATGGACTAACAGTTACCAAAGGGAAAGGGACTGGGGAGGATGGGTGGGAAGGGAGGGATAAGTGTGAAGATGGGGCATTAGGATTAGCACATATAATGCAGGGGGGTGGGCCAAAGGGAAGGTATTACAACACAGAGAAGACAAGTAGTGATTCCATAGCATCTTACTACACTGATGGATAGTGGCTGTAATGGGGTATATGTGGTGGGGACTTGATAATGGGGGGAGTCTAGTAACCATAATGTTGCTCACGTAATTGTACATTAATGATACCAAAAGAAGAAAAATAGAAATGAGTGCATACTGTAGGACATAGAGCTGGACATGTGTCACATCCCATGAAGGAGAGTGAAGGAGATACAGCACGTCTGATAACATGTTTTCTCTTCCTGACCTTTTCTCTTTTCCATGTGGCCTGAGTGGTGATTGCAGTGAATAGGCTGCAATGTTGGTAGTGTGTGAGCCTGGGGAGAACCCTTAGAGCTCATTGCCACAGTAAATAAAACAAGAGCCTGTGAGCTGGTTTGCAGTGAGCTTGGTCTTTAGGAAGAGCACTGGCTTTGTGACTTTGGAATCCTGAATCTTTACTCACCATGACCTTGAGCAACTTGCTTCACTTTGTGTTCATTTCTGTTATTTTTCAAATGGGGATAAAGTATCAATTTCATAAAATAGGGATTATTAAATAAAAGCACAAAGCATGTGGGCTAGTACTTGGCCCAGAGTGACATTCAGTAAGGCTAATTGTTATTCTTGTTCTTGTCATTACTACTCTTTCTCTGCCTGCTTCCCCTGCCTGTCCCCCAATTCCATCCCCAGACCAGACAGCTGTTACCTTCTGTGCAGTGACAGGCATGGCAGGAACAGGAGAGGGTACATACTGGATGTTTGTCCTGCAGTTCTCGGAACTGTCAGAAGGGTCTTGTTCATTGCTCTGCCCTTAATGTTGTCATTCACTGCTGTGCGTTTGCCTCTTGGGGGCTCACAAGGCCCTGGAGACTGACTCTGGCCTTCTCCTTTCAGTATGGAATGCTCCTTTACCAGAACTACAGAATCCCCCAGCAAAGGAAAGCCTTGCTCCCCCACTTCTCAACTCCAGTGGTAAGTACATGTGCCAACCTCCGTCACGCTGCTTTTGAGCTTCTGCATCAATCAGCACATGCTGATGGCTCTTGTTGCACAAGCCTGCCAAGAGGCTCCAGAATGAGTGCATTTCAGAGAAGCTGGTTTCCCACGACATTCCATCTCCCGACCCTGCTCTCTCAGCAGTGTGACTGCTTGAACATTTCCTCTGCTGCCCTCCCTGCCCCTGTACTTCTCCACAGGGCTGTGTAGGCAGATGGCCCTGCTTAAGTGCTCCCTGTCACCAGCAACGTTCAGCTCTGCTGGGGAGCCTCTCCCTCCTGTGGCTTTTGTCCATTTCATCCATGGGTGCCATAGACTATTATGCTTGGATCCTCCAATTTAGAGGTTATAATGAGTCCTCTGTGTTCTCAGGATGTAAATTACTTCTAAAAGATGCAAACATTTCAACCTCTGAAAACTATCTTAAAGATCTTTCAATGCCCGTTCCTAAGAGACACCAGATCATTCCACAGAAGGAATCCACGTGCTGCTCTGAAGTAACACACCCAAGAGAAGGGCTTGGTGCCGGTGAGGACAGGACCCACCGTGCTATTTCTGTTTTTCTTTGACATGTTGTAGTGCAGGTCAGGGAGCTTGTGAAGGGCTCCGCAGTCCAAATCCTGCTGACACCAGCAGCCTCACCAGAAGCCTGTGAATACTGCAAGAAGACTGAAATGTTTCTTATTAAGAGAAACCAAAGCCATTTTTTTTAGCTTAAGGGCCCTTCGGTCACTGAATTTTCAGCCTGCACCTTCCAGAGTTGGGGGTGGAGGAGGGGCATCCTGTCACCCTTCTCCTGGCCATCTTCATGATGCGCTGGCTTATTTCTCTGCATTTTAAGAACTCATGGCCTCTCTTTTCCAGCGCAGCGTCTCCGAGAACTCCCTGGTGGCAATGGATTTTTCTGGACAGACAGGAAGAGTGATCGAGAATCCGGCTGAGGCCCGGAGTGCTGCGCTGGAGGAGGGCCATGCCTGGAGGGTAGGGCCTCAAGCCCCGGGTGGCAAACCCACCACGGGTCACCCCCAGAAGAGGCATTGTGGGTGTAGGCAGGAGAGGCGTCCAGGGAGGGGCAGAGGGTGGCCCCCGGGCTCCCGACCACAGGACACCGCTGTAGCCTGGGGCTGCACCGGGGCCCTGCCACCCTGGCCCCGGGTCCCAACCACAGGACACCGCTGTAGCCTGGGGCTGCGCCGGGGCCCTGCAGCCCTGGCCCCAGGGTCCCGCGGAGGCCGTGGGGAGCAGCGCGGCCCCCTCGCAGCTGTTCCTGCCCAGCTGTCGGGCCGGGGCAGAACGTGGCCCCCGGTGGGTGCGGCTGACCCGGGTGGTCATGGCCCCGCCGCTGACTAGCTCTGTGGCTTTGGCCAGCCTCTTCACTTCAGAGACTCCAGTTACTGACCTCCAGATGGGAGGAATATCACCCAACTTTCACGTTTTCCGAAGATGTAAAGACAGTTCACGAAGCATGAGCCCAGAGCTCTTGGGAGGTTCTCTGAACCCTGGCTTCAGAAAAGGAGAACCACCCCCAGAGCACCGTGTTTTTCCAGAACTGAGTTCAGTGGGAAAGCTCATGGTTTTCTCCTAATATTCATCAGGAGCTTCGCTGAGTGTCTTCCATGTGAGAGACGAGAGTGCCCCCCTCAATCCTCGGTTGGCAGAGGCCCGCTGGGCGCTGCCGTAGTTCACAGCTGTGCCCCGGCCCTCTGTTCCCTGGCCGGACGGGGCGTCAGGTGACTCTCAGTTCAGTCGGGGCCCCGCCCCAGGGCACGTGAGCCGGGCGGCCTGGAGGCTGTGCCCGTCTCTGGGCGTAGTGCTAACGCGGGGATTTCTTTTGCAGAAGCGCAGCACGCGGATGAATGTCCTAGGTAGCCAAAGTCCCCTGCACCCTTCTACCTTAAGCACAGGTAAACATGGCATGTTGGCCTGATATTTTTGTACATAAAGAAAAAAAGACTCCCACCCTTCCCCAGCTTCACAAACCTGTCCGGGCCCAGAGCCCACCACAGGGGCGTGGCCACGGGAATCAGGGCCCACGCTGATCCCGAGTTGGCTGTGCCCTGCGGAAGGCCGTTCCACAGATGGACGAGACCCTACCCGCCTCCTCTTCCCTCCCACAGTGATTCATAGGACTCAGCACTGGTTTCATGGCAGGATCTCCCGGGAGGAGTCGCACAGGATCATTAAGCAGCAAGGCCTGGTGGATGGGTAAGGAACACTGCGGCCAAGAACCCGTGTCTGCTGAGGCTTTTTGTGCAGGGCATAGATTCTGCTTCTTGGATGGTTCTCATTTAAAGGGGAGGAAGATGTGGCTCAGAGATGTGATGTGGTCAGGCCTGGCCAGCTGGTAAGCGGGAGAAGAGGGATTGCCGTCCATTTCTCGCCGTGCTCCATCTGTAATCTCTGCCTCTTTGTTGAAATTCAAGCAGACAAAGAGCACAAGCTACTTATTTTAAGTTAATAAGGCACTGGGCAAATAGAAAAAAACATCTTTACTTACAGCTTTTGATTCATTTATCAGTTAGCTTTTGCTGACAACGGACAACCCAGAGCTTAGTCTTAAAACAACAATCCCGGTTGAGTGGCTGTTCTCACCTGGGCCAGCTTGGCGCTGAGTCGGCTTCACTCACGTGTCTGGTATTGGCTGTGCCCGTGGGGTGGCCGGCACGTGTTCCAGCAGGCTAGTCTGGGTTTGCTCACAGGGTTCCCAGGAATCATAGAGGTCAAACCCTAGGGTCCTTGCTCAGCATCCTATGGGAAGAGACTGGGGTTCAGAGGTGTGTGGGCTCGGGGTGGTTATTGCAGATGTGTCACTGCACAGCTCAGCCCGAGTCCCCTCCTCTCTTTGATCACAAGGAGACAGACACCCTCTGGCTTTCACCCCTGAGCTGGTTCATTTCCTGGTTGGAGCTGTGCCACACAGGATCTGCTGGAAATCAGGACCCTGGAAGCTGCTAAATTCAAAGAAGGACACTTTTGTCCTTCATCTTTTAAAAGCTTTAATATGGAAATTTCAAAGCTTACCTAAGGGAAGGGAATGTTATGAATACCCACATGCTCCTTGCCCAGCTTCACTGGTGCTAACCTTAGCTTCTCTGTTTCCCCTCACATGTGCTGTTTTCCCTCCCTCTTCTCCCCTTCCCTTCTTCTTCTTCGGGAGTGTCTTAAAGGACGCCCCAGATATTCTAAACTTTTACCAGTAAACATATTTCAGCGTGCATCTAAATACGGATCCTTTTCCAACATAACCACAATATCATTGTTACATTTTATCGAAATAAACAAGAATTCCTTCATATCATCTAAAATCAAGCCTGTGTTCAAATTCCGCAATTGCTGCAAAAAAAAAGTCCTTCCTTGAAGAGAAGCCAATTCATTTCTTCTGGGATAGTGTGTCTGGTTTGTGCATCATTCCACGGCAAGTAAAGAAGCACCTGAGGTCTAGTGTCTGTCCTAGGTCGTGATCTTAGGGTTGGGCCGGGGCCCTAGATCGTCAGCTTGACCTCCCAGATCAAATCCCCATCCCTGGTCCCCAAATGCTGTGAGCATCCATCACTGAACCTCGCAGGTTCAGTATTTCATTAGGGGTTACAAAATCATCACTTTTGGCTCTATTTTTCCTGTTTCTTGGCTGAAATTCTTTGCCTTGTCATGCAGTTGTTTTTTTGCAAAAGGATGGTGAATGCTCAGTTTTCCCCTTTTGTCAATTTTCAGAATAATGACTTGGTACCCTACCATCTTTCAATGTGACAACCGAGGCGTTTGTTTTAACCATCACTGTGAACTTAGATGCTCAGTATGCCCTCTCTTGGCTGCTGGGCATATGCACAACTCTTTCAAGATGGTTCCCAAGTTCTCTTGACCGACCACTGATAGTGCCTGATTTCAGATGTAACGGATAGATTGGGCTCCACATGGCACCTGTCTCTTGGGAGCCTAATTCTTTCTCGTGGAAAATGATGTCTCAGACCATAATCTGCAGAAGGTCTTTTCCATGGGCAGAGCTAGGACACAGGCTTTCTTAAACTGAAAATAAAGTATGGCTTCACAATGATATTGCCAATTCAAATTGAAGATTACAGGGGTTTCACTTTTTCAATTTTATTGGATCTCTCTTACCTTACTCTGAAAATCTTACTAATGATACTGTTTGTTTTATCCCACTGTGTACTTAGTCGCTGTGTCCCATAGACTAAGACCACTGAATTCACATTTCCTTTCAGTCCTTTTAATCCATAGGGAACATTCCAGGCAGGTCATGTTAAAATGCCAAGCTTAAAGTAATTCTCTCTGATTCTACCACCAAACTGTTACATAGCCAGGTTCATTGGTCTCAGTTTGTTTTTCATTTTCCTAAGTGGATCTGATTTATTTTCTCTTTGGTTTAATGGTGCTTCTTAAATTACATGAAATATTTTCATGGTTCCAAAGGCAAAACAATGAACAAGGTGCATCCCCCGTTGACTCTCCTCTGTCCTTCTCCACACGACAGGTAATTGTTTTTATCGGTTTATCCATCCTATTGTTTCTTTGTAAAAATAGAAGCAAAACATCTTTGCTTCCTCCTCTGCCCCTCCGTAAACACAGGCAGCCCCTGGAAGTGCTGGGTGAGATCTGCAGGCCCCCTGAGGATTTTTCCAGCGCGTGCCTCCTGCCTCCTGTCCCATTCATTGTTTCCAGACTTAAGTGTGACCAGTCAGTGCCAGGTCCTGTGTTTGCTGGTGTCTCTTTGCTGGAGTTCTTAGAAGTGGGTTGTGGAGAAGGGGGGAGAGAGGCTTCTGTAATATTGTAATAAAAAAATGCCAGATTCCCCTTGCAGGGCGTGATCCCCTGAAATTCTGGGAGCAGCAGCTTTCCCAGAGCCACCTTGAGCTGAGAGGGGAGTTGTGATTTGCATCTCATAGCTGAGGATGAGCCTCCTTCCGTAGGATTAGGGGCCTTTGGCATTTCCTTTTCTTTTTGCAATTCTGGACTGTTTATATTTTTTGCCCAATGTTCTAAATCTGTTTTTTGCAGACTTTTTTCCCCAGGTTGTAATTTGTCTTTTTTACTTTGCTTATGGGTTTGTTTACAGAAATTTTTTTTAATGAATTTTATTTGGTCCCATTTATCATTTATGTCCTTCTTAGTCCTTGTCATATTACTTTTTCCCACTCCTTATATCATAAAGGAGTTCATTCCCATTACTTTCTAGAGCCTGCATTTTTTCTTTCCCTCTTTTTCTTTCTTCCCTCCTGCCTTTTTCCTCTTTTTAAATTTTTTTTGTGTTCCTTTTTGTTTGTTTAGATCCCAGATGCATTCAGAATTTATTTACCCTTGTGTACTGTGTAAAGAGCATATCTTAATCTATATTTTTCCTATGCAGGCATACAGTAGTTTTAAAACTACTTATTGGAGATGCCACCTTTATCGTTGAACAGTCCTTTTCAAGCGTTAGAAATGGGTTCCCCTGACTATAAAGAAGGCTGTTGCTCCAGTGCAGCTTCCAATCTGCCCAGGGAGAGACATGCTTCATTTCTGAAATTCCCCTTGCAGTGACATTGTTGCATTTAGGTATGTGTGCGCCAAGGGCTTTTAATACAGACTGTGGACCCGTCTGCAGCCATTAGCCACCTCAGAAATGAGCCCCTGAATGTTCAAGTCATGTCCCCATTAACTGCGTTGTCCATGGGACTTGTTCTAAGGACGAAGAGTGGGTTTGCTTGCCAAGTGATATCATACCGCTTTAAAAGGGAAGGTTCTGCAGAAGGCATATCTGGTGCCATGACCGCCTGTGTCCCTCTCAGGGCCCAGGGCAGTGAAGATAGCATCTGACCCCTGAAGACTGACCGGATCTCGGGGCAATGGGAGATGCTGGAGAGGGGGCAGTGGAGGACCTTCCCCGGTGATTCCGAGGTCAGGCCTGGCCAGGCCCCCTGAGCAGTAGAGGGCGGCCCTATGGCAGGGGGCAGGGAGCAGGCGGTGGGTGATCATGCTGGTGCCACTGAATTGGATGTCAGCCCCTGGCTTTTTTAAAAGCATGTTTGTCTTTACTTTTCCTAGACAAGAATCCCAGTTGGCAGGGTTCCACCTTTTCAGGCTTGGGGAGCTGTGCGTCACTACTACCACCCTCCTCCCCATAAGCCCTCCAGTTACTGCTGCCCTTTTAGAAGGAGTTTCTCTGTCCTTCTGGGGTTTCAGTTTATCTAAGGTTATAATTTTCAATTCTGAAGGTAGGCTCCTGGAGCCCCGGCAGACACAAGGGGGAAGATAATGGGGCCAATTCAGGTGTCACCACAGAGAAGCCACATTTCCCATTGATTCCTGTTTAGGGAGGAAATGTGTTGGAAAACAAAGTAAATTAAAAAATCAATTCCTAATCTTTAGTGATCCCTGAAGAGATAATGAAGGGAAGCCAATTTAGAGAAAGAAAACAACTTTGAAAGGCAGTATAAGAAGAAGACCCATGTTCTAGATCAGCGTTTCCTCGGGCACCGGCCTCAGATTATATAGGCATTAGAGCAGGCCAAGGGGGCCTCCGGGCCCGAGAAAACTAGGAGATGTCTTTGAATTTCCCAGTATTCAGGAGGCCTCCCACATTTGTGTATGTGTGCATGTGTGCACACACATGTGTGTCCGTGTGTATGTGTGCCCACACGTGTGCATGCACCCCCATCCCACCAGCCCTGCAGGGAATCCTGCCAAGCACTGAACATGCTGCCTGCCTCCTCCTCATGCCACTGCCAGCCCATGCCAGAACCTGGAGGAAAAGGGTCTTTTCAGAAGGCAGCTCCAGCTCCGTTGTCCCCCCTGCTACCCCAGCTCATGTCACCTGCAGCGCTTAGGACTCTGCCCACCCTCTCCCACCCTGATGGGTCCACACTTGGGTCCAGCCCACTGACCTCTTTGTGGTCCCCAGGCTCCATCTCTGTGCTGTCTGTGGGTGCTGGTTCCTGTCTGCACCCTACAGCCCTCTGTGGGGTAGAAGGAAACTTCTTTGTCACAACTTGAGTCCATTGCAGCTTTCCCTTCCCCGGGCAGAGGGAAGGTCCTTTCCCAGGTTGCCAGCACTCCCTTAGAAGAGCCATGACAGCACGCACCAGCCATGGCAGAGTCATGTCCACGCTCAGATTTCACCTGCTGTTCCTGCTGTACCCACTGTACCCACGTTCCTCCTTGGCTTGTACTGTCTGTGTTACCTTGGAGAACCAGCTTACCTTCTCTGTGCCTGCTTCCCTCACTGTAAAATGAGGACAGTAGCAGAGTTGCTTGCTGGAAGGACTAGCGTGTGCCCAGTGCCCAGCTCCTAACCCTGAGCTGTGTGGTTCCCCTGGTTCCTGTTGGCCCCTAGCACGGCAGCAATTCCTGTGCCCTGGGGAGCACCTGAAGGAGCAGCCTGTACCTGAGTCCAGGTCCTCACCGCTTTCCTTCCGTGTTGCCTTGGCGATTTCTTGACCGAGTGGCTTATCCTGGCCTGCATGGTCCTCTGGGGCTAACTGTGGGCACTGTTATCACAGCCACCGAGGTTGGGTGCTGTGGTGCACAACACCGTCTGCCCCACCGCCCGCATTCTGGTGGTCGTGCAGGAGAGGCAGCAGCCCCCTTTGCAGGTGGCACCCTCCAAGCAGGGAAGCTAGTTCGTGGCAAACCTGGGAGACTTGCTGACTCCTGAACCACACCCTCTTCACTCTGTGGGCTCCTCCACTTTCATGACTATTCCAGATAGACAGCCTTTAGGCACAGTCTGTGAGGCCCAAGCTTTTGGGGAAGCCTCAGGAATTCCGGGGCCAAGTCCTCAACTTGAGAGACCCCCAGGGCGTGCTTCCTGCCTGCCCCTCTGTCTCTTCAGGGGCAAGTAGGCCCTGGCACCTTCGCCGGCCACTGCTTCTCTGCAGAGGGAAAGACAGGCAGCTCACTGCAGTAACATGAGGAGGGGCAGCCCCAGCCTTTCCTCTGGGACAACCTAGGGTTCTGCAAGCTCCCAGGTGTCTGCTGGCAATGACAGCTTATTTGGAATGAAGTAACTTCAAGGAAAGAAAACAGATCTTTGCAGTAGAGGGTGTGCAGCTCTGCTGAGGGAGGAATGAGAGCACATTCCACAGGGAGCCTGCCAGCGTTCCCAGCACTGTCCCTTCCAGGCTGCCCAGCCAAGTCCTGGAATTCTGTTCTGGTCAGTGTGTCTCAAAGTGCATTCTGAAGAATATGCATCCTGCGAAATGCCTAACAAAGGTCAGGCAGAGGCGGGGAGGGGTGGTACTGGTAGTACTGTCAGGTAAGACTTAAAAGCCCTCAGGCTGGAGCCCCTTAGGGCTCATGATAAACATTCATTTTTTTAAGGCTCTGAGAAGTCCTGTAGTAAAATAAAACTTCTGTACCTTTGTAACACTGCATTTCCCAGTCTTGCTTAACTGCTTTCCACCTTAACACTGCAACCTAGAAACTGATGCTTAAGCTGATTACTCTGGTTTAAAGTAACATTTACACTGCTATAACTTTAAAGTATGTTTTCTCTCAAACCATTTCTTGTCATTTGGGTTAAGGTGTTGGGACTTCTTTCTCCTCCTTTCTAGTGTACAACTGCCTATCACACCAGCTGATTCCAGATTTGTTCATGTAGCAGCATACTTCTTTGCACTGTTCCATTTTTTCAATTATTTTTTATTAAATTTTTTTAATCTCTTTCTTATTTTGAAATCATTTCAATTGTTGAAAAGCCGCAAGAATAATGTAATGAACTCCTATTCTATGTATCTGTTGTAAATGTATCCGTGCTACTCAGATGCACACCAGAGTTGTCCACATTGTAGCATGTTGGCTCTGTCATGACCTGCCCCCGCCGGCCCTCTCCCCGTGTTTTAGCTTGGGGGTAACTTGCAATCATAATTATTTTTTAATCCTAATTATTTCAGCAAAAAATTTCTAAAAACAGGAAGGTATCATTACAAAAACTAGGAATTAACACCAGTGAGGTTCTATGATCTAAAATACACACACAGGTTTTGCCAGTGGTGCTAGTTACATACTTCATAGCAAAGGGCATACTTCCTAGTCCTAAACCCTTCCTGTGCCAGTGCGTCTGCTTCCCCTTCCTTTGTCTGGCATCAGCACCAGTTATTGCAGAATGTGCCCTGGTGAGGTTGCTGCTCAGGGTCCACTGGGTGGGGGTGATGCTGGTGGCAGGAGTGCCCCAAAGGCACTCCTGGCAGGATGCACAGGGGGATCGTTTCATTCCTGCTGGTGATGACTTGAGTACTTGATGACTTGTAAAAGGTATCAAGAGGTTTCTCTACTGTTACTGTTTTCCCTCCATAATAAATATTAGGGAAAGATGCTTTGAGGCCATGAAAATACTGTGCTTCTCATCAGATTTCACCAGCTAACTTGAGCATCCTCGTTAAAATCTTCCCTGATCACTGGTACATAGTGGTGATTGCCAGTGGTGTTATGAATCTGTTGTTCCTTCTCTCTCTATTTAGCGGCCCTTCTTGCTTTGACAAAGAGCTTTTTCTTCTCCCGTATTACTTTGTTTGCTCATTTATTTTGTATGCAAGTATAGGCTTATGGATCCCTGTTGTATTCTCTGGGCTACCATCTCTTACTCCTGCTCTTCCATTAGTGCCCAGATTTGGCCAAGCTGCCTCCTGTGTCATGATTCTTTTGAGCATTTCCTTACGTTCTGGCACAAAATGTTCCAGCTTCATCTTGTACTTTCCCTGCCCTAACTCGAGTCAGCCGTATCCTCCGAGAGCCCTGGTTCCTTTCAGTGGGCAGTGACATTCAGAAACCCCAGTGTGCTGCAGGGGCTGTGGCTCCCGCTGCGGCACGCAGATGCCAATGCCCGCTGAAGCATCAGGGCTACAAGCCTGTCTCGTCAGAAGGAGCGGGCAAATGTGTGCATGTGCTCATATGCAAATATGTATATATAAAGTCTGGATTTGAAGAAATAATGATTGTTTTCCATTCCCAGGCTTTTCCTCCTCCGTGACAGCCAGAGTAATCCAAAGGCATTTGTACTCACACTGTGTCATCATCAAAAAATTAAAAATTTCCAAATCTTACCTGTAAGTGTTGATATTTTCACACTAATACTTGTCTGTTTTCTGGTTTCATTCTTAATGCATTTTTCAAGTTACGAGCTAACTGGAATATTTTTAACTGTTAGGCAGTTCCATGCTCACAAGTGGGATGCTCTCAGGAGTTTCTTAAGTTGTTTTTTGAAATTGGGAACAATGTTTACCCTGGAATAATACTGAAAATGCAGGCACTGTGCTGAGGCCTACGCACACAATTCATAGCTGCTGCTGAAACGGCACCTGACGGGGAGGAGGTGGGTCAGGCGATGAGTAGGGCAAGCTGGGAGGAGCCTAGGAACCTCCCCACAACCACCTGGGGAACGGGCGCCAGCCATGCTTTTCAGCATCCAGCAGGAAGCCCTGGCTCCCCCCTGCCGTCCTGACATTTCCCAGCTCACCCTGGGGACTCCCTGTACTCTTAGGAACTGGACCGCAGACAGAGCTCATGCTGACTGTTGGCCCTGTCTTGTTCCCTGAGGCGCAGCCTCTAACTCGGCAAGTATCCTTATGTCTCTCTAGTGCGAGGATGATGGACAGATGTTCTTCAGCCTTGACGACGGGAACACCAAATTCTCTGACCTGATCCAGCTTGTTGACTTTTACCAGCTGAACAAAGGAGCCCTGCCTTGCAAACTCAAGCACCACTGCATCCGAGTGGCCTTATGACCTCAGACGTCCCCGTGGCTGAAGACTGGAGGACGCAGACACTGGAATGAAGAGGGCTGTGCATGGTTTGGAACATGCAGCTATACTGCCCCTTGGGACTCAGAGCAGGATCGATTCAGTTCGGTTGGTTCCCGCCGACCAGGATTGACTAGTTTGTTGGACTTACCGGGATCTGCTGCTGTGGATCCAGCAGGCCCACCTCCCTCTGCCCCAGCCAGAGCAGGGAGGGCACGGAAGAGCACGCAAACTGGAGAATAAACTGGAATGATCGTCTTGGCTGGGCCACGTAGGGATGAGAACCGGAGAGAATCAATTGAAAATGAACTCTTGCCCTGGAATAATCTTGACAATTAAAACTGATACGTTTACTTTTTGTATTGATCACTTTTTTGCACTCCTTGTTTTCATTATTGTATTTGGCCTATGGTAGAAGGGGACGTGGCTTTCCTGTGCATATGAGATGCAAAGACAGGTTTGAACAGGCAGACTTCAGAGACTGAATGTGGGTCCCCAAATGTCCCCAGGGGTGCTCCTCACCTTCAGGTTACCATAGGTGGCTTCAGCTCCCAAATAACCAGCCACCCCCAGCCCTTCCCAGTTTACTTGAAGAGCTTTTTTTCAATCCAAGGTTGCCTGCGGTAGGCCTTTGGCATGTTTTGTGGACCAGCCAGGCCACCTCAGCTTGTCAGTCACCTCTGTGCACAGATGTCCCAGACCCCAGACTAGGGTGCTCTTCCGCCCTCATGGCTCAGGAGACCTGCACTCTTTGGAAAACTCCGTTCCACAACTCAGCAGTGCGGAGCGGCCCTACCACTAGTCTGACGCAGGCCAGCCTTTTGAGACATGCCTGGAAACCCATTATCTGCCAGCAGCAGATGCCATACCATGGAGTGCCTTCAGCCTGTTCTAGAAAGATCACTGCCTCCCCACTGTGGTGGTTTGAGTCCTTTCGTGGCTGTTCTCCCTCCGGGGGTTACAGAATCTGAAGGGAAATGTCACCTGGCTGGCTTCCTACCGTAGTCCTGGTTTTCCATAGTGATAAAGACGGAAACGTTGCAAGGGGCTCATCCACAGCCCTGCATTTAAAGGTCTTTCCTTGACCTCATCCTGCTGAAACCCCCATAAGCCAGACACATGAGGCAGCTAGAGCCCCGTCCGCCAGCTTACAGTCAGAGGCCCCTCACAGTGGTGTGTGCATCGGTCGGCCCAGGGCTTGAGTTGTCTTCCCAGCTCCCTCTGCCCTGCTCGCTGGCTGAGTCTCAGGGGTGAGAGTAGCCGTATCTTTACATTTGTTCTCTGCAGGTAGAAAGGGCTCTCATGACCAGCGTAAAGACTCCTGTGCTGAGAAGCGATTTCCTTTGCTGAGGTCACAGCCGCACACGTGACTGGCGCCCCTGAACATGTGCCATGCATTGCCTCAGCTCAGACCTACCACAGGGCTCCACGGTTTAGCACAGACCCCACGCGGGCCTCAGTGATGCCTATCCGCTGTAATGACATTTAGGGTATAGAAACACTGTGTTTTAGTTTACAGGCCATATTCTAGTTGTTTTCCATGAAATGTCTTCTTAATACAAATGAAGAATTTATAGTAAAACATTTTTTAACCATAAATGCTCAATTATGTCATCTTCCTTTTGTAGCCATTCTTTCAAACCACAAACAATTAGGTAATTCCCAAGGCCTCCTTAGCAGCTTCCACTCAACTTCACTTTAGCGGCTGATTCTTACACTGCTACACCTTGTTTCTTTTCACTAGTTGGGAGTAAAAACCTGAGAAAACAATCTAGGATTTCTTTGCTCTGTTTACATAACCAGTTTCCCCCCAAGAGACAGCAATTGTCTGCAGTATTTCATTTTTATAAGCAGATGTTTTATTTAAAAGGAGAACAAAAGCTTGACTGACTCACAGTTTTGTATGTAGCTGGTCTGACTAGTGTTTTGTACCTTCCGGCCACCTTTGGCAAGTGTAAACTCCCCACAGCCCCTGCCTCGCCTGCCCGGGGCTGGGGCTCCACCTGACTGCCACAGGCCCTTGGGGCAGGAGGGCGCTGGGTCTGGCCCCGCCAACCAGGGGTGGGCAGAGGGTCCACGTCTATTTTTGTATTTGAGTGACATGAATGTAAACGGGCAGCTCAGGGTCGATTTGGAGCCTGTTGACTTCTCTCTCCCTGTGATTTTCTTTTCTAAAATGAAAACATGTAGCAGCCTGGCCTAGGTTGAGAAGGAAAACGGCAGGTGCTTTGGGTGTTTGAGTTAGCAGGTGAGCTCTGAGTTACAGAATGGTTTTTTGTTTGCTAAACCCTGAAGAAATATGTGCCTCAGTCCAGTTGTTCTGTCTTCTCTTTTCTGCAATTAATACATGATGGTTTGACCACTGGGCACACCTTCCAGGGGTGGGACTTTCTGGCGGTAGGTGATGTCGCAGTGCAACCTGCAGTGACCGTGACATGGCCTGATGTGTAAATGTTTTCAGGGAATGCAGAAGGTATTAAATCAGGAGACAAAACCTTGATTCCATGTGCTTTGCTCTCTTCTGTATATAGCTCTTTGGCTCGTGAGCCTAATTGTAAACTTTCAGGTATTTTTGTACAAATAAGGGACTGATGTTCTGGTTCTTGTAATTAGAAATAAAGATTAATACAGTGTTCTTCATCTCTGTTATTTGTAATGTCTCTTTCTGTATTTTGAAAAACCCAGACTGGTCAGCCACTGAGAGCCTTTGGAATGATTTGAATAAGAACAGCGTGCTGCTATGCACCCATAAAAAGCTAGTTAAGAAGGGATTGACATGGTGTGCTTGCTGGCCTGGCCCTGCTGCAGCGCCAGACTCTCATTTAGTCTCCCAGGCTGGTGGGCCCTGCATTGGTGCCCAGTGGTCCCAGTGGCCACTCACTGTACCTCCACCATATGGTTACAGACCTCAGGATGCTTCCAAGGCAGTCAGATCTCAGGTGAAAAACTCGCACAAGTTCCCCTTTGTGAAGTCCAGTGGCATTTTTTCACTGCAGTGGAACAGTTAAAAGTGGCAAGAACCTGGGTTTTCTACTCCAACAAGAAAGATAAGAGTATGACTGCCCTGAGCTGGTTTTCCAATGCATCACTTACCTGTGCTTGGACATGACAGGCCCCCTCTGGCCCACACCAGGCAGAGTACGGGTGTATTGTCATAGCCACCTTGCCCCCAAGCAGGCAGTTGAGCACACCTGTGACAGCTTGACTGTCCTGTCACTTGTTTTCAGAATCCAGTTCTCCAGTTTGGGGTAGCTCACACCCTAGAAGGCAGGCCGACCTTTGAGGAAGAATAGGAAAAGCCACAATGCTCTCCTCAAGAGAGATGTGTGTGTGTGTGTTGTCTGGCGGGGCTGGTGTGGGAATGTGTGGTGAGGACAGTGGCATATCTGCACGTGGGAGAGGAGACAAGCAGGGTCAAGTGCGTGTGGAGGCTGCAGTGGTGTGTGACAGCGGGGGGCCCTGTGGGGAATGCGCCTTCTGGGGGTGCAGTGTAAAGGCGCACGACAAGGAAGAGCCTGCCCTTCCCTCCTGGCGGAGCCCAGGCCCGGGGTAGAAGCTCTGGACCAGGCTCTGGATTGTAGATTTTGATGGTCCCTCCAGAGAAGGTGATGCCAGAGCCACACGGCTGAGCCGAAAAGAAGGCACTCATCGATGACTGTAAACTTGATCTCACTCCAGTTTTTGTTGCCTGGATCACATTTCTTACTAGTTTTTAAGGATATTTTGAGTAATTAGTAAAATTAATAGGAAGGAATCTTTTATGATAATATTAGCTTGTTGGATGTAAAAAGTGAAAGATCCTACAACTTTCGGTTTGAGAATACTAAAGTCAGTATTGCCCTTCTCAACTTGGAAACTACACACCAGCAAGAAGGACAGGAAACAGAAATGGAAGATCTGTTTTCGGCAGCGTTAGGCTTCCTCCACTCATCCCACAATCTAAGTACCAGGGGCTGCTTGCCCAGCCAGGAAAACCAGCCTGGGGCAGGGAATGCGGAGGGCACACCCATGACTACAGATCTCCGCACAGCCAGCAGGGGCACCTGCACAACAGAGGACTCTTCCTGGGGGCAGGAACTATAGGCTGAGGGTTGATAATGAGACTGGTCTCATTTTTCTCATTTCTCTTCAGAGCCACGCTGCTGTCCTGACATGTACGCCCTGAGCTCCTGTATCTCTGCTTTGAGCTTCTCTGAAGTGATTGCTTGATGTTTTTCTCAAAGTTCATGATTCTATGTTTGGTTGCAGTTATGAATGACTCCATGGCAATATTTTCCCAGTGAGTGCTCTGTGCTGTTTACTTTTCCTACCATTTTCTCCTTTTACCTCAGGGTATCTTCAGAAGAGACCAGGGAGGTGAGTTCTTCATGGACTGGATGTTCATAGGAAGTTTGTGTGGGGGGAAGATACGGGTTGTGTCGGATGCTAGCAGTACAAAAGAGAGCAGGCAAGCCCATTGCAGGAGTTGTGTATGTGAATCCCAAGACACATATGACACATGTGACACATATGACAACAGAAACCCTTAGGATGGATCCCCAGCTCACTCCTCCCCTGCCTGTGGTCCTGGCTACCTCACGTTCATCCACCACACACCTGCCAGACAAATCTCCCCAAATGACTCCATATTAACTTACAATAGAACATTTTTTCCTTGGTTGTCCCAGTGCAAGTTAATACAGTGTCATTTTAGATAATTATGGAATTTTGTTATTTGAAATAGAAGTTAGGAAAAATTCTCCTAGAAAATAAAAATGAATTATAGCTATAGACTCAAACATTTGCATGCGTGGGTGTCTGTTACGCTGTAGCCCATGATGCTCTGGGGGTGCACTGAGTCCAGCTGGGAGATTCGCATGTGCAACACGAGTGTGCCCTCAAGTGAAGTGGAGCAGGAGTGTGGCCTTATCGAGGTGTGTGCTGTCCAATTCCATACCACAAGGTACACATGACTATTTAAATGTAAATTTTAATTAATAAAAATGAAATGAAAAGCTCAGTTTCTGGGTTGCACTAGCCACATTGCAAGTGCTTAGTAGCCATGAGAGGCTGCCGGGTCCCACCCAGCACAGTGCAGAAGTAGAACACGTCCCTCCTCACAGACAGTCCTACTGTGCAGTGCTGGCCTAGGTGACAGAGATGAGAGCCTGGCCACAGGAGTGGGATGGATGACTGGAATGTGGCGGGACTGTACCTGGTCGATGTTCTCGGCTCCAAATACAAGGCCTAAGGCACCGCACTGAAGTCACACCTTTGCCCTGCTCAGCAGGTGAGACACACTAACCTCCCGTTTGCTACAACAGAGGGACTCTCTGTTCTCTTGGTTCTCCTACGGTCCACCTTACTTTCCAGAGATAACTGAATGGCAGTGGCTCACATCGTACACATATATATTGTATACACAACAATATGCCGACTTAGCCCCATACTGCACACACTCCCTGATTTGATAGCCTGTTTGATGAGATCTCCTGGCATGGGCCGGAAGCAGGAAACACATTTTCTGTTGCCCCCAATTCATCCCATTACAGCGATCATCTCCCTGGATGGAATGTAGTTTTCATGCCTGAATATAAAGTGAATGTTTTCACACACGGACCATAAATGTAAGCAGAAATCTCACTGCTGCACTCACAAAGGAGAAGCCACCTCTTTCTGCAGGAGTAAGCAACAGGCATGCAGAACTTTGACACATGGTTTTGTTCAGAACAATTACATTGAAAATGGGATCATTCGCAACACCTTTACATAACTCAAAGCCAGTCCTGACAAAGAAGGCTGGTGTTACTATGTGTGAGCTAAGGTGGGCCATCATGATGAGATAACAGTCTCTGCTTCTCCCAGCCAACCAGGCCCCAAAGTGTGCAATTCTTGGTATATTTTTTAATGGAAGGGAGGAGACCTGCGTTTTATGTTTTATTTTATGTCTAAAGTGAAATGGTATTAATATTTTGTTATTGCACTAGTTCATTTTTACATAAAATATGACTGCATTATGCTTTCTGAGGGGATTGAAGTTTTCCTAGGGCAATTTTGAGCATAGATTTTTTTCCTGTGTTGGTGCTGAGTTTATATCTGAGCCCTGCTATACGATTAGGCTGTGGGAAACCTGCTTTCTGACATGGAAGATGCACAATGGCGCCTTCAAGGTAATGCTGGACGCGTGTATCCTGGCCTTCCAGAAGTTCTGATGCACTGGGATCGAGTGGGCACAGAAATGTGCCTTTGTGCCAGGCCCCCATCGTAAGGTGCAGCTCCCTCCAGGAGGAGAATTCTAGAGGCTGTCAAGGGAACTGCCTTGTACCTCTTGCCACATTTTAGCAGCGTGACTTTGAGAATCATTTAACACGTGTAAAAGGATCTTTTGGGTCCTGGCCCTGGATTTCAAGCTGATCAGAGTCACCTGTAGGACTTTGACCCTACATATGGCCAGGCTGCTCTTAAGCTGTGACTTGGCAATGAAAGGGCTTGCTCGCAGACCACCACAGGTAGAAGAGAGAACCCCCGACGGGCCACCTGCTCCAGCAACTGATGGTCTGGGCATTGCACTTCCCTCCCTTCCCAGGTGAGCAGTGGCATCTCAGTTTCTAAATGCATGTCTCAGTAGGCTGTGGTGGGAGAGCTAAGGTGTGAATTACAAGTGCTCGAAGCTGCCCCTGGGAGCACCCCTGTGGGCACAGGGCCAGCACACTGGAAAGGCCATTGGAGCCTCTGCCCTGGCAGGATGCAGCAGTCCCTGCCCTTCCGGAGGGGAAGGGAGCTGCTCTGCTGGGCTTGCTGAGGTGGACACAGCAGGCCTGAACCCCGTCTCCTGACTCTGGTGGGAGCACCCTCCATGCCCCTGTCCCCTCTCCCAACAGCTATGATCTGCACCGCATCACACCGAGCCCAGCCGTGGCCCTCATTCTCTTACACTGAATCTGCGGCCAGATGACTTGGCAATGACAGGGCTTCCCATAAAGGCTGTGCCGCCGTCTCCCTCCTCCCTACCCAGCACCTGCAGGGCACCCTGTCCTGTGCCAGCCCTTCTGCCAGCCTCCCCATTCCTCATTTGCAAACCAGGGCCACTAACACCAACTCTGACCATCTCTCCAGGGAGGCTTAAACAGGACAATCATGCGAAATCCGACTGTAATGCATTAGCTTAAATATAATTAGTTTAAAAGTAGAAGAGCAGATCATTCTGTGTTTGATCAGGTATCAAAGGAGCTGAAGGAAGCACCGGGTCAGTGGGTCCCCACAGGGGTCCAGTGCCACCTTCAAGATGGGAGTGTGCCAGGCCTGTGCCCCCTCCCAGGTTGAGTCCTTGTCACTCCTGAGTCAGAAATAATATAGGAATGGAAGCAAGAAATTCATAGAGGAAAAGCTACAAAAAGCTATGGAAATGAATATAAAATGACTACAATTTTTAAATTAAATAAAATACAGGATTTGCTGGTGCTGATAAGAGTCGGTTTCTCTAGCATTTTGTCTTCATTGTTGACTTGTCACATTCAGATTTCACAAATCTTGGCCTGTGTTATTTCTCTAGAGTATCCATAGTGGCTTTTGAACCCATTGAAATAACCCAAGTAAGAAATGCAACTGTACTCTGTACCTGGTGGCCCAGTGCACACTATACCTAATTTAAACAAAGTTTC